TGGGGTGGGAAGGTGCAGACATCTTTTATTTATAAATAGATATCCAGTTGTTTCACCAACTTGTTTTGAAAAGAATATAAGTGCGATTGAAACATATAGTGAACGTTTAAATTTTTAAAAAATTTATTACAGGAAGCCTCCCTCAGAATACTCCCCCTCACTTTGAAGACACTTATCCCATCATTCTTGGCACTTTTTGGAACAATTCTGGAAGTCCTCTTTCATGTGTCTTTAGTTGAGTTGTCATGGCTCTCTTGATGTCCGGAATCAATTAGAAATGTTTACCTCTCAGGGTCATTTTGACTTTGGAGATGAGCCAGAAGTCTCACTGTGCCAGATCTGGTGAGTAAGGTGCATGAAGACATACTGGTGTTTTTATGAGCCTGCCTTCCCCTTGCATGGGACCTGGCAGCAGCATTCACCATTCAGTGTATTTTTTATCACATTTTGTAAAGATACAAGACTTGGAGACCTGCTTCAGAAAGTGGCAAGAATGATGAGATAAGTGTGTTTAAAGCAAAGCAAGGAGGAGTATTTTAAAGATTAATGGGTGTATCGTTACTGTAATAAATTTTAAAAATTTAAATATTCACTGTATTTAAATATTCACTGTGTATTCTGATCACCCTTTGTATACTGTCCCTATTGAAATACCTTGGCATTGGTTGAAAAACAGTTGACCATATTGTGTCAGTCTTTTTCTGGACGCTATTCTGTTCTAGTGACTAATGCATGAACATTTCAACATTTACATCATTTGGGGATTGACCTTTATTAAGTAAGTATCTTCTCCCTTGAGAATGGCCTATATCCTTCTAGTTCTTTATGTATTGTGTAATATGGTTTTGTGTCCTGAATTTTGTGAATGTTGTATTATGTAGACTCTGGGCTCTGTAATATTCCTCTGAACTGTTTTTATGTGTCAGTACTGCCAGTTTTAGTTTAATTCTTTGAGCCTTTGCTGTGTTCCTTTGAGTCTGAATATAACATTACCCAAGAGAATGATCTGATACACGTATGTTGTTCATTCACTTTCTCTGCTCTCTGCACTGGGATTTTCTACTCATTCTTGTGGCAGCTGTATTTGCCTCTACAGTAGTCCTAACTTTTTTTTTTTTGGCCAGAAAGATGTCAGGTTTTCTGCTGGAGTTGTTTTTATAGAGAGGAGATCTTGCTGTGTTGCCCACACTGGCCTCAAACTCTTGAGCTCAACTGATGCTCCTACCTTAGCCTCCCAAGGATCTGGGAGGGCAGGTATACATGCTCTGATTCTAACAGTTAAGTGTGCTACTTTGTGACTGGTGGCCATCATAGGGCAAAGCCCCTTAAAAACAGGAAACTGTCTCCAATCCTTGCAGGTTATTTTGATTCCCCTCCACAGTCTGCTTGCTTCAGAATCTTTAGGAAATTGGTTTTTCAGTACTTTCTTCAGAATTTGTAGTTGTTTTCCATGTGAGAATAAAAGGAGTCTATGCAACAATACTTGAAGTAGAATCATCTGTTATATCAGGGTTTTCCCTATGTGTGAAGAAGCTAATATGTCTTCTTGATAAACTGACCTTTTTAATACTGTGAAATACTTGTTTCTATTCCCAATAATATTCTTTGTTCTGCAATTTTTCTCTGATTTTAAAATATGGCCACTAATAGCCATTTCAGCCTGCCTTTCTTTCTCTCTCTCTTTCTTTCTTTCTTTCTTTCTTTCTTTCTTTCTTTCTTTCTTTCTTTCTTTCTTTCTTTCT